AACATGGATGAATGTGGGTGAATATTGGACAATAACATAAGACAACATAGATGAATGTGGGTGAATATTGGACAATAACATAAGGATATCATAGATGAATGTGGGTGAATATTGGACAATGACACAAGACAACATGGATGAATGTGGGTGAATATTAGACAAATGAAGAATATTAAAGTTTTTAGTTCAGTAATCACATTTACAAAATTCAATCATCATGCTACTATGGATAATGAGAGAAGTTTGTACCTTCCATGTTACCCCATAGAATTTTTTTTTGCCAGGATATATTGTAAGCTATTAACCAAATTTTCCAGATTTTTTTTTACATTGATGTAAAAAAAATAGCCATAAAGACATGATGGAGTTACTTACCGGTGGATGTATAGCGAGCATATGAGCCTTCAGTCCTGGCTGACTCTGGTATTCTTTTTGACATTTATCACAAATGTATTTCTATGAATATACAAGTACCATACATACATAAATAAATAAAAGCACTGAGAAAAGATTCATGAACAGAAGGTTGTTTTATTCAGGAATTAATTTTTTTTAACTATATCAGCCAATAGCAGCAAAGTTAACTTACAGCTATTTTTGAAATCATGAAACTTATATATTGCTCATTGCAAATAAATAACTGAATGGTTTTGTCTTTGAATGATGCCAATATATCATTTTGTACAAATGCACCTCAGTTGTTAAGGGCAACTGTTTTGCAAAAAAAATTAATTATTTTACACATGTGTATACATCGCATATGGCTATTTAACACATCATTGCTACAATTTTTCCCTCTCAGATTTTAGTGCAAAGTTTTACCTCTTTTTATGTAGTTTTTTATAATTTGTTACCATTTTGGACAAAGTATGGACATACTTTCTTACTGAAGTCCCGATAACAATTTTGAAAAAAAATATAGAAAATTACAAATACATGACTAAATAGTTTGTGAATGACGACAAATATTGACTTTTGCGCTCAAAAGGTTAAGAACTATTGTAATACAGATTACATCGCAAATTTGAAACTTAGTTTGCTAAAATTATTCACATCTACATAATTTCCACTCTTTTGACTCTTTCGAGAACAAAACTGTTTTCAGTACTGTGGAATACTTCGCTGGAATTAATCGTCGCTGAAAAAGCTTTTTGGGCATTTTGTAAGGAATTTATTTTCACTGATTTTTGATGAGTTTAATGGGAAATATAGGAAAACAAGTATATTGGCTGGATTTTATTTTCACGAAATTAGCGAAAATAGCGAAAATAAATTCCAAGCGAAAATAAAGTATTCTACAGTATGTTTCTGCTGGACATCATTTTTAATGAGATAATGGTAATTAAACAAACAAAAAAAATCGCTCAAGTTAACCTAACAACACTAAAAGTGTTAACAATTATGACACCAATGAAGGCATGTAACCCCAAATACTTCACACCAATTTATTAAAAGCAAAGTCAAAATCAGCATGAAGAGAGTCCAAGAATCTTTGATATATCCGTAAAACACCATGCAATATTGCTAATAATAAGTCTGGCTACAAATTAAGCTTACCTTTGGGTTCTTTACACCACATCTCTGCCTATGATACACAAAACCAGCAAAGGTGCTGAAAGATCTGTTACAATCCTAGAAAACAAGGAATTACAAGTAACAAATAATCTTACTGTTCAAACCCAACACAAAGGATTTACCCATATATATGTTTTTTCAAGGCCTGCAGTTTAGTAAATCAATAATATTATCACAATCGCCGTTTGGAATAATTATGCAAATCGTATTCAAATTAGTGTATAATACCAACCTCAACCTGGCATCTTATCTTTCCAACTTTTCGCAATATTGCTCGTAATACCAGATTTTCATTTCCTTCATCAGCTTCACTGCTTTCACTGCCTGCACCAGGACTCATCTGCAATCAAATAATCAAAGAAAGCTTAGAAAATACTCCCATGTATTGGTGACACATTAAATATAATTTGAAATTACTTAGCTGAAAACTAATTATGCAAATCAGAAAATTAATATGAACTGATTTGAGTGTAAAACTAATGAGGTCTGCGCAATGTAACAGAAACTCTATGTTTCCAAGTTTAATTGAAATGTGATTAGAACCAACAAATTATGAATTATTATGCTTATTAGGGAATTAATATTAATAATTAGGTTTGTACATTGTCCTAGAGCATCTTTGTACTAAGTTTCATTGAAATGGAATAATTAATACTTTAGATATCAGTGTGAAAGCTTAAAATTGGTTAATTATGCAAATTAGGTAATTAATATGTACAGATTTTAACCCACAATTATCCAGGTCTGTCTATTGTCCTACAGCATCCATGTACAAACATTCATTGATATGTGATGTTTAGTACCTGAGATATCAGTGTGAAAGTTGGAAATTGGTTAATTATGCAAATTAGGTGATTAATATGCACAAATATTTACCGAAAACTAATTGGGTCTCTGCATAATTCTAGATTCATTGAAATGTGATGATTAGTACTTTAGAGATCAGTAGAAAAGCTGAAAATTAATTATGCAAATTAGGTAATTAATATCCACAATTATTTACCCTAAAACTAATCAGGTCTCTGCATAGTCCTAAAGGATCTATGTACCAAGTTTCATTGAAATGCGATGATTAGTACTTGAGATACCCGTGGAAAAGCTCAAAATTGACTAATCATTATGCAAATTAGGTAATTAGTATCCACGGATTATTACCAAAAACTAATCAAAACCTAGCATTAGTTCAGAGCATTATGTACCAAGTTTCATCAAAATCCAATGAGTGGTTCTTTAGATATCAGTGGAACAGTCATAGAACAGCTAAAAATTAGCTAATTATCATGCAAATTAGGTAGTTAATATGCACGGATTTTTACCAAAAACTAATCAAATCTGCGCATATGTTCAGAGCATCTATGTACCAAGTTTCATCAAAATCCAATGAGTGGTTCTTAAGATATCAGTGGAACAGTCATAGAACAGCTAAAAATTAGCTAATTATCATGCAAATTAGGTAATTAACGAGCATGGATTTTCACCAAAACCTAATCAAATCTGCGCATTGGCCAGAGCATCTATGCACCAAGTTTCATAAAAAACCGATGTATGGTTCTTGAGATAGCAGTGGAACAGTCGGACACACATACACACACACACACACACACACACACACACACACACACACACACACACACACACACACTAACTGCAAAGACTCCCATTATGTGCTTCGCACATGGGAGTCAAAAATACAATTCAAATGAAATCGAAATTACAAAAACTGTCATTTCATACCAGTAAAATGTGAATTTATAATGGCAATAAAAAGTGTTAAAATTAAATCTGCGTACATGTATAAAGTTTTCATTTTCTACTTACCAAATCGTTATGAGTTGCCATCATATGATATTTAAGACCAGCACTGGACTGGAAATGCCTCTGACAATGTGGACAAAAATAGTCTACTTCTGCAGGCTGCAATGTAAAGCAAAAATGGCATGCATAAATATGGAAGGTAGAGGTGAGTTTTCTGTTCACTGTGAGATCTCGCATATTGCGTGAAATGCACGAACTGAGCTGAAGTACCATGAAAATTGAACATCACTTCTGTACTAATCACAGTGCTTTATTTGCCTTTCTTTCTTTACATTAAATCTTCAGTTTTAAGTCAAATCGCGTTGTTCTCACGAACATTTATATAAACATTCTAGAAAGTACTTGTAATTACTATAAAATAACAAAAATAAATTCAAAGTGAAAATAAAGTACCGGTACTTTATTTTCACTTTGAATGTACTTTTGTTATTTTCGTTGAAAGGATTTTTTATATTTTACATTCAACTCATCAAAAAATTAAACTTCATACAAAACAGCCAAAATGCTTTTTCTTTTAATTCCAGACAAAATATTTTATAGTATCGGTATATTCCTTTCTTTCCATTAATTGCTCTGAAACTTGTATACAGTCCAGTGATATGATGATGAAACACCGACCAAGTTTTACTGTGCTTAAGAAGAAACAACAGAGCTCACACAACAGTGACAGAAAAGCCACCCATTGAGCTATCTGGAACAGGGTGGAGTTCATTGACTTTTGGGTTATTAAATGATTTTACCAGTTTGATCATAAATATTCATTATGCGGATCTTGCGTGCCTTAATTTCAATATACGAATTGTATGAGAACAACCACACACTCTGAAAGGTGAACACACACAGACACACACACACACCACGTTCACACATTGCGAAATACGTAGTAAATGTTCTAAGACTCTTATAGCATATGCCATGTGAAAAATCGGGCATGATCCTTCTTTACTATTACACTAAGAATTTCACAAAGAAAGTTGACAGGACTCTATGAATGGCAAAATATATTTATAGATGGTTTGGGGGCGGTAACTTTAAAGCGGGATAAAGAACAAAGACTCTTCTGAGAAGAGTTTTCATACTCATTCTATACATAACACTTTACTCACCGTTTTTGCTAAACAATCTTTGTGGTGTTTCTCCATACTAGATATATGGTTCCTTCGCTGACAGCATCTTGCACATTTTGCAAACCCATCACTTGCGATCTGTGATGCCCAGACTTTCTTTGCATTTGTCATATAGTCATCAGTAGCGTCATCAGTGTCCTTCAATTCATCGTCAGTGTTTTTTGGATCTTCTTTATCTTTTTTCATCTTCTGAGTTTTCTTCTCCTGATGTCGACAATCAAAAATGTGTGTTAGTACTAATCACATGACCAAGATGTATATCCTTCACAGGTATGGGCTTCAGTATAATAATTCACAACATATAGTAAACTTCACAATATTCAAGGTAAGCATCATTTTATGTACACTTGAATAGTATGCACAGAAAAACAAGTTATGCAGATGACCCAATATTTATTGCAATAATACAAGAATGTAAGTATGGATAACAATTAATCATATGGTTTATTTCAAGAAGATATTAATAAATATAAGAGTTATAATATAATACTGATTATCAATAGCAAATCGGTAGCTGCAGATGTACATCCAGCAACACACTTACAGATCATGCCTCATCAATATGAATTGCCATGTTTGGTCATGTGATATCACTAGTCTGTAGAGCTGGTTGATACGAGCAAGGTCATGGGTAAGGTTAGTATCATCCACAATCCGAAGGTGAGTGAATAATGCCACCTGTGACTCCACCAGTATCAACTAGCTCTGTGATATTAGGTGATAACCTTTATATAACAAATGTGAATCGGATAATATGGTATATATACAAAAGACCACAGCTGTTTTAACCTTTTGTATACCAACATTTTTATAATTTCTCTACAACTTTTTGAACAAATGGACATAAATAATAACCTACTGGCTATCTGTCTTGATTAAAATTCATGAGCAAATATAAAACAATGAAAGATTTGTGAAATGTGATAAAAGGTAAAATTCAACAATACCTGTTGTTTCAGACATTCTAGATAATGAGTTTCCATTCTAAAAACTCTTGAATGTCTCTGATTACATAAATCACAATTGACAAAACCATTTTCAGCTATCTTATCCGTCCATAACTTTCTCTTCTCCTCAAAGTTGCATTCAGTAGATTCATCTTTATCACTTTTATCATTTTCGCTCAAGTTTCTCTTCACAATCCCTTGTGTGCTGCATCGGCGTTGCGTGCCTCTCCGAGTCTTCCCACTCGGTGTACCGCCTGTGCCACCAACTTTACAAGACAGATAATGCTTTGTGATATAAGATATTGATTTCCTTCTCTGTGAGCATTTTCCACACTGAGCAAATTCAGTAGAAGAGATTTGTTCTGCCCAGCTTTGTTTCACCTCCTCTGGAATAACGTCCTCTTGTAAAGTATTCTCCTCCTCCATCGACTTCTTTCTTTTACTGTTTCCACCTCCTTCACTCACTTCATCATCAATGTTCCCCACTTTCTCATCATCTTCCAATTTCCTTTTCACCCTGTTCATACTGGGGCTTCCATTAAACTCCTCTTTACTTTGTCCTATTTTTCTTGTTTGCATCTTGCTGGACCACGGAGTTACCTGACCAGAAGCTTCAACCATTTGAAACTTTACTGATGATTTGCCACGATTTTTATCTTCATCTGTCTTAGCCCTATTCAGTATAGTTATGTCATGAGGATGCACGCTATCTTTTGGAAAAATTACAATTGTCGAGACTGGTGTTAATTTCTTCGGCCTTTCACCAGGCTTATTTGAACATGGAACACCTTTTTTCTCATCTGTACCTTTACTGAGTGGTGAAACTAATTGTTTGGAATGAGATGAACAGTTTCTTCTTTTCCCTCTCACCGGGGTCTCATTTGCCGCGATTCCTTGATGCTCTCGCAAACCAGCAGTACAGGGACTACTACTCTGGTCATCATTAACATTCAACTTTTTCCTGAGCTTTGTAGAAGCCTCAGGACTTGTCAGTTGTTCTGACACCTTGCTGAGAAGTCTTCCACTGGTCCTTCTTAAAGGATATTTTTTGACTGGTGTAGCGTCCTCCATTTCACAAGAATAAAGTCTTGCAACTTCAGATCCACGTTTTAACTGAAAAAATAAGAAAAATAGTGTTATACTGCAAATTAATGAAATGATAACAAATGTAATGCAACTTAGACATGTTCCCTCAATAATGCTACTATTTACTTTCTTTTAAAGATGTGGATGACCAGAAAATGTTTCTAACAAACCCTATCCTTTACTTTGCTTTATCTACTGTTTTTTATTACTTTCCGATTTATTTGTAGTTATTAGACCTTTTAAATTTGTAGTTATTTTAGTTGTATTACTTATATTTTACACTATTTTTACTTACTGTATTCACACCAGATTACAGTTGCATAATAAACTATTAAGAATATAAACTTGGTAATTTCTTACATGATTATGTTTCAATCAGATATAACTAAGTTAACTGGAAATACAGAATTTGTTGTTTCTCATAAATAATGAAACATTCTAGGTGCACATTTTTTTTTTTTGCAAGAGGGGTGGAAATGAGAAACTTCATTTTTCCTGTAAAAATGTTAATGCAATATTTTGGTCCAATTAATAGACACAATTACATGTATATGTAAATTAGTCTAATTAATATGCAAGGATCTGTGCCAGCAACCATTTGCACAATCAAACCTATTTTCAATATAGATTGTCCCATAAAGTCTAACACTGTCCAGAAGTCGCATTGCTTTTTCATATGAAACTGTGGAACATAACAAAAAATGACATGTATTAGTGACAAACTGAGTAGATTACCATTAGATGGTCAGAAGATAAAGAGGGCATGGATGAGGTGGCGCTCACAACTTGAATGTGGATACGGGCCGGTTTCCAATACCTACATAAACTAAGCCAGTAACACATTCCTTGTATACAAATTTATCTTTTTTTTTTTAATGCTTTTTTGTTCCCTTACTTTTTATGTAGTTATTTTTCTTTTACTAATATTTGATTTGTAACCCTTTTCATCCCTTCCGGGGGATGTTGTGTGTTAATAAATAAATAAAATCATTGACCAGCTCATAGCTACTAAAATAATAACCGGGCTGTGTAGAATGAAATAAACCATACAAAACTACTAGTAACATACAACATTTAACATACAATATATTGTTTGGTTAAAAATAAAATTAATATAAGGTTGGTTTTTATTTAATTCGACTACAACAAGCATGGAGCCCGTGTCCAAATGTGCCGACAAAACCTGAAAAAGAACCGAAGTTGTGGAGAACTATAGTACACTGCAGCTTGACTTTCTCACAAAAAAATTATAAACGTACATTTAAAACTAATTAAAAGAAGCTAAAACATCAAATCTTTAAGATACCTAGTAAAATGGACTAGCAAGGGGCTCGAACTCGCTCCAACCTGATGCAACACAGATCCAAAGGCAAAATGCGATGTCGCTCGGCCACGGAGACTGAGGTCAAAGGTGAAAACATTTACGCAAGATCTCGCAGTATCTCGCTGTTTAGAAATACAGTAAACCAACATTTATCGGTTACAGAAACTCAGTTTTATTAAACAGTTCATACTGAAACTTTGCAGAACGTGTACGATTATTCATGAATGTACTTATCATTCATTTATTTGCTACTATTCAGGGTTAGATTGAAACTAACTATTTATGTCACGTGATATTTTTACGGGACTTGAAACAAAATGGCGGCCTGTTGACAATCCAAGCATTCGTCGAAGGAGATCATTCATTGTGTTGCATCAAAAAGTAATGTACATCTCGTTGCATCTATGATATTGATTGATATTGTCATCAGTTTACAGACATTCATTAATAAGTGTCAAAATCGTACATTTTGATTACTTGAGTACGAACCACACAGTTGAACTCTGCAAGTGCAACGCGTCTGTGAAACGCTTAAACTCCACTGTGGGCTATTGATAGTGTAGACAATTTGCGCAGTCCCATGGCCGGTCATCACCCTGGGCATCCTGGACCACCTGGTTTTGGGGTCGGTGGTCCTAATCCACAAACAAAAGAAGTCAACACTGCGTCATTGTGTCGAATCGGACAAGAAACAGTCCAAGATATTCTTATCAAAACCACAGAAATTTTCAATGTATTGAAGACTACTCAGGTTTGTTAATATTTTTAATAAGTTTAATTTGAAAAAGTCCTATTTTCATGATTTGGAACGTTTGCATAACTCACAATTGAAGCACAGTCCCACAGTATACCTGCAGTTAGATTACATGATACATTTGCAGCCCTGGTTTCGTGCTGTACACAGTTTGCTGTGATGGTCGGGGTCTAGCACTGAGTACAGTTCTGTAAGTTGGCCTCCTTCCGCTAATCATTCAGCCCACGCAGTCCTGAGAAGTCGTATAGACTAGGGATTTGACACTAGGTGAAGGGCTGCATTGGGCGATTTAAGAGGCATTTATTAATACGTCTAACTATCCCAAATACCTTGACTGAAAGCAAAATTACAGAAGATTTCCCACCAGGGTCAATCAAATCAACATTTTCCAACTTCAACAGAAAATATACGCTGCCATCTTGTTCTTGACGTATTTATAAACAAAACGTCGCTTCGTTGCATAAAATTAGCTTTCGCCAACATTCCAGTGCTGTAGGTTCATTTTTCGGCCACAAGAAAGGTATTTATAATCGATTATAATTAGTCAATAGACATTTTGGCTGATTACAATCATGAAAACTGCAGAAAGGCTCCCCACTATAAATTTGTAGCAGAGTGTTGAATCCCCGGTCTATATGACTTCTCAGGACTTATGGGGGCCAAATGATACTCAGGGCTACTGAACTGTACTCAGGGCTAGTCGGGGTCCTGTCTGTACACCCACGATGCCATGTGCAATGTATACCGATATACAAAGCTTAGGACCCATTCAGACCCAAAACATTACAAAATCATAGCTAGGTTACATGATGAATGAGTGAATTTATTTTTACCAGTCAGTGTTACATTACTAATAAAAAGAATTCAAGGTGGGTGATCACTGAAATAGTTCTACTGAACTAGTCGGGTCAGTGACCCATTTTATAGTAAACACACCGGCAAGTGATAATATAAATCAATAAATAAATAAATAATATGTACATGAAGACACTGCTTAAATAATAATAAATGCAAAGAGAAAGAATAGCAAAAGTGTCTGTGCAATAAATAGCAAAATTATTTGTCAATAATACAAAAAAAAAAACAGTTGACAGACAATAATACATTGTACTAATGAAATAATATTGCAAGTATGAATAGAATGAAAAATTGTCTTTTAGGCAACTGGATAGCAACTCACTTGCCTTTAGAAACTATAGTAAATATATAAACAAAATACATTTTGAACAAGTGAGTTTAAAAGTTAACGTCAAGCAGTGTTTTGCAGTATTATTTGCCGTTAATAACATCATAATATAGCCACAGTTACTTCCTTGTGATACTTTAACTACAGTGTACAGGACTACATTCAAAATTATTGTTATTCACATTAATAGCTGCCAAATGGAGTGTCTTCGTCACCAGCCAACCATCAAGAAAGACACGTCAAGTTACAGGAGTACTTAAGAAATATCAGTATGCTGTTTAAAAAGCTGCGATTAGTCTATGAAAAATGCAATGAAAACTGTGCTGGACTTGATCACACAAATCCTGAGGTATGTGCATTTCTAACAGCTTCCTGCAGTCAAAATGAATTTCATCGCATTGAAAATTGTTCATTATATGTTGGGAGAAAAAAATCGCTATCTAATTTCCTCTATTAGAAGCACATCTAGAATTGCATGTAAATGAAATGAACAATTGCCTCACAGTAATCATTTGTTCTAATTTTACAAAATCAAATCTCAATGACAAAATCTCAGTAGTTTTTATTGTACCAGTAATTGTACATACAAATATTATTTATTTAGATATGAGACACACATCTGTTATTTCCTCAAACATATCCGCTTACAATAGCCTGATACATGTACCTGTAGAATAGTACACCTGAACCTCATTTTTTCATTCACAAGATTTGTTTGTGTCTTTTATGAATCAGTATATTGTTATGCAATACATGTAGCAACTCAAAGTGTCCAAATCGTTTTGATGTTTTGAGCTTATATACTGTGTTTTAATTTCACAAATTTGTCAAGGAAGCAATGAGTTTTATTGTTATATTACTTTGTTACGTAGATTTAATTTAGACTGAGAAAATAATATCTCTGTTTCTCGTTTCTGTGCGCATCATTTTGAACTATACGTTTTTTTTTCTTCTAAAGCATTCCAAAATGCACTTGTACTCGCACTTGTCTCAAAAACCCCCCATTTTAGTGCAGTATTAAAAAAAATAAAATAACTCCTTGCCGCCTCATTTTAAAATTTCCATGAAACGAGAAACAGAATTTTTCCCTGGCCTTAGGGGATTTCATTTATTAGTGAAAATTGCAAAATTCAAACATGGTGAATAATTATGTCTTCACTAATGCTATAAAATCATCAAATCACAAAAAAATTACTGTGAAATACTTTATTTTCTTAATAACTATGGTGCTTAAATAATTGTTGACTATGAAATATCGTTTTTTTTTATTATTAATTCTTGTACAGTATAGTGATAAACAATGTATCATGATTATTGAACTGTTTTTAAATATTTTGATCAGGAGCTTATCCCATGGCTTGAAGAAGACTCTGAGGTCAAGCCAGAACACATGCCTCCAACCACAGAGAAGTTTTACTTTGCAAAAGAGGAGCAGAAGGACATTATTGAAGTATGCTAACGTTCTTATGGTTTTTACAGTAGTGTGTGTTTGCATAAATCTGAATAGATCACTCAACTTTGAGTATTAATGCAAATATGCAAATTTTTGGGTAATATTAACCATCATTCCAGTGAGGATAGAGAGAAAATGAGTGTCGTCTTTGTATTTATATATTTGACAATAGACTACAAATTATTGATAATTTGCGGACTAAAAGGTTCCATCAAATAAATAAAAAATAATAATAATAATAATTTTATTTATTGTATAATGGCCTCCGGCCCATTACAATCATACAAATTAATTATTGACTTGAAATAAATTTACATTACAAAATATGTATGAGAATATAGATGAAGAGGGTGTCAATAGATAATATAAGCACTATATAATAATGTGATGGGGATATTTATATATATATATATACATACACGGTTATTAGGTTATTCTCATTTGATCTTTGATTAAAAAACACTTATAAATAAATAGAGCTAACGAGTTAATGATTTGGCTTTTAGAGGTTAATGTAGTTCAGCGACCTCATGGTAAACGAAACACGGAAGAGATTTACCGTTGTTGTACTGCGATCGTTTGACTTTGATTTTGATGGGAAAACGGCATGATTTTTTTTTTAAATCAAGAAATTAGTTGTTTTCGAAAGATAAGCTGAGCATTGAAGAAGAATTTAACACTTTTGAAGATAATAACAGCTCACTGTGGAAACGCAGTTTACCCAGTCACGTTACCCACAATAAACCTGTACTCTGGAATAAGCGTAAATGACTACGGGAAAACCTTAATTAGACTCTAATTTAAGCGACAGGAATCATTGAAATGTTCGAAAAATTATGCCTTAATTTAAAATTAAATGGTATATTTTTTTCTGAAATATATGGTGGCTGTTTGGTTTGTGAAAGTTTGGGGTGCGGCTTATATTGCAGACTTTTCCCTGGGATCAAAACATGTCAATTTCAACATGAAACAATGTCTCAAGTTAGGGGTGCGGCTTCTATTAAAGATGCGGCCTCAAAAAGGAATTTTACGGTACTACACGGAACATGCGTTTTCATGTAAATAAACAATCTGTTGTATACGCCACTTGGAACTCAAGTTTCAAGGACACGCTGGCGACAACCCCTCCGCTTTATTATGACGAGCTCAAAGAGAACTTTCAAAAATTTTATATTTTTTCTTGATTCGAACAAATATGGCTGACTGGTGGCCATCTTGTTTTTCATGGTACCCATGCTACTTTATCTTGAATGCAATGAACGCTTCTGTTTAAATTTTGTACAAAGATAATATACCAAGAGATACATCTGCACCAACATTATTTTTGTGATTCAATTCAATATGGCTGGCCGACGCCCAATTTTCATGTAAAAGCGCTAAATCGCCATTTTTACTTGTCCGGAGCTGTTTCTCAGAGATGACTAGGCCAATTTGGATCAAAGTTGATATGATGATCATACATATTGGGTTATAGTTGCATGTCATATTTTTTCTGTGATTCAAACTAATATGGC